ATTCCGTTGCTCCTCGAAATTTTCCACTGAATTTCTTGAACAGTCGTCAGGTGATCTTTCCAACTGTATTTTTGTAAACGGTAAACAACCTTGCTCTCCATCATGGCGGTTTCGTAGCATGCCAATGACAAGCTGCAATGGGTCAATATTTCATCTACCGCGGCTACTGGACTTTCTTCATTGCTGTTCCTTGCAGATGTGGGCTCAGAGGTGGGTATATAGAGCTCGTAGGATTCAATGATCAACTCAGGTCTCGAGTTAAAACTTACCTGAGTGCAAGAAGTTGCCCCTCCACAATAGGACAGGTACGAATGATGTATGTCATGTAGTGAAATGGGACAGAGGTCCCTAAAGAAAGGGCTGCCTGAAACACTAGTCCACAATTTCCAGTTTGAATTCCTGGAAAGACTTCAGTTAATACCTTCCGTTAGAGCAAAAGTATCTTTGTGCTTCTACGATGAATTATTAACATCCCACAAGTCCTAGACAAGCCTGGCTGCTTGTGTTTCTCTTTTCGTTATATTGGCTTTGTGTTGTTTGTTCCTCTTGTTGTTTTGTTTTGTTCTATGGTGGTCAGGGTATTAGGCAGTTAAGCAAAAAATTGCAATAGTTCAAATGTACGTTCATCGTACTTAGGCGTCTCTCACACTACGCGCAAAGAATGGCGGGATAGTGAAAGATGGCTTTGCTCTCCTTTCTTACTCCTCCCATAAAGCCTCGCGCTTCTCTTATTCCCAGTCATTCGCCTTGTGTCGCGCGAGTCTCGAAGCGCTTGCAGAGGAAGCTGTTAGTGCTTTATTGTAAGGTACTCAGTCTGTATTCATTATGCTTGATTTCTAACCCAAGGTAATCATGGGACTCACTTGCAACCCTCCCAAGCCTGGTGATGAATCATATGAAAAGTTTTCAAAGGTATGCTCCTAACTGTAACTTAACGCAGAGAAACTCACGCGCCTCGCGTGATCATAATCAGTGCTACTTTATCGCTCGTGTAATTTTTCAAAGGGGCTCTGTCACGGCTAACTAGTTTATATGGTTGATAATGGCAATAACGAGTCATTATTCGCTATGGAACTTGAGAACTTAGTACTTAGTTATGAATGACAAAATTAATAGCGTTGTATTATTCTTTTTTTCAGCTTGTCTCTAGTGCTCAGGCTGTAACTAGTTCCAGGTTTTAACGAAAATGTAACAATTTGAACCGTAGCTTTTCACGATACAGAAAAAAGCAGTGAATAATACAATACTTAGTCAGGTGACGCCTCTAATGCCTGCCTGCCTGCCATGGGATAGCCGATTTAACAAATAAAGCTTGTTCCTCTTACCCTGGGTATCAGAGGTTTTTCTCGCGGGTGGCGGGACCCTTCGGCCCGCGGGCCGAAGCCACTAGTGGAGATAAAAATTTGAAAAACCGGAAGCTGTGGCACGCAGGATAGGTTCCCATTGATTTTTTTGCCCAAACAAAACATCAGATTCGAGTCTTACGCAGGTAAAGTTTGCCAAGTGCTGAAGTGGCTAAGGGACTAGGTCGAGGAGTAAACAAAACGTCTATTTTCTCCTGGAACATTCGGCAATTTTCTTATAAATGTATAGAAAATGATCTTTAATTGCGACGCACTAAGGAAATCTATAGAGGTGATTACCTTCAGTATTCCCCTATCTTGCTTAATGCATTATTTTGTGTTTTATCTGTTTTACAGGAAGTAACATCTATCAAGGATTCTTACAGGAAGAAAGCAAAGATGACAACGGAGGTTCTTAACTCAATGGAAAATGTTAAGTGTAACGAGGTGGCAGGTGCAATGTGTGCATTTCCAAGGATAACACTTCCAAAGAAAGCTATCGAGGCAGCCAAGGTATCATGTCTTGTTTCCGGTCCTGATTTGTAGTGCTGCACTGCAGAATACTGTCAGTAATGGATATCCTAGGTGTACGGTAATCCGAATTCCGGAATCCGGGAATTTTTTTCTTGTAGACTGATCCGGAATCAGTTCTGGGATTAAAATTCGGAATTCAGACCCGGTTGTTCAAAAGATGGATAGCGTTATCCAAGGGATAAATCTGTACCTACCTTTGCAGCTAACCATTTACGTGGTACAAAACCGCCACGCTGGAAAGGAAAAGCCGCACTGGGACAAGACAAACAAAAGACATACATCATTTTAAATTGTAATCTTCTTTGTTTGTCTTGTCCCAAGGCGACTTTTGCTCTTCAGCGCGGCGGTTTTGTACCACGTGAATGACTAGCTGCAAAGGGCCTATTGCACTATTCACTGGAAAGAGATTTATCACGTGGATAGCGTTATCCACCTTTTTAACAGCTGGGGCCTGCTCTATATAGGAAGCCCGGAGTCTCGAATTGGAATCTGAAATCCACGTTTCACGGACAAGGAATACTGGATCCAGTACCTGCCATCCGGGATCTACAGCATAAAATCCGGAATCCACAACGTGCGATCCGGCAGCCAAGATTCTCTAGGATGTACCTTATACTAGACGAATGCCAACCCGTTTCCCGCCGTGTCAATTTTCATAAAAGGCGTTCTTCCGTTAGAAAAAGTGAAAAGGACGCTATAGGCTTTCATCTTATTCAGGCTGCTGATAACGTCCCGCGAAAATTAAAATTTTACTTTCTCAACTTTCCATATTGCATTGCTAAATTCCATATGTCGTATTGATCTTGTACCAGCTCCCAGTAAAGGCTTCATCGAGGAATTCTTTGAAATACAGATATTCCCCATACAAGGAAAGTATGTATGTGGTCTGTCGGGTGAGAAAAGTTAAAGGATTTTGGGTGGACAAAAGTGATGTGTAGATATTTTTTGAGTTTACTGAGTTATTTGTATTGTCATTGTTATTTAGGCCAAGGAAATACCACCGGACGAGTTTTACTGTTGGCAGGCGCTGGAGAAAACTGGAATTTACGTGATTCCTGGCCACGTGTTTGATATGAAAGGCAGCGGTAACAACTTTTACTACAGGTAAGATTTGAATTAACAAGGGCCATCAAGTTCAGGTTGGAATTTTGATGATTTTAAAAACCTCTCTGTGATATCATTTTCGCCCTTGTGTCACAAGGTTTTCTCAGGCTTGTCTAATATATTTAGATTGATTAGATTGACTGCACTTTAAATTTGAAAAGACCCCTCTTTCCCCCCAACCCCGAAAAAAACTACCTTTGTACCACAGGAACACCAAATTAGGATGCGTTCTGACGAACGCAATAAGGGTATACACAGATCGGCCCATAGCCGGGGTGATGGGGGCTTAGTGGAGGGCCTGCAACTGGGATAAAGTTGGTGTTTACAAATAGAAGGGCTTACAACCGGGATTATACGGTACGGACCAGAGCTTAAACTTACGTGGGAAAAGGCGTCCTAAAAGCGACTTGTCTGTAAAAGCGACGTTCTGTCAGCGTGTGAAAGTCTGATGAAATTGGACCAAGTTTTATCTCGACATTATGGGTTAAAATAATCCAAGACGTTTTGATTTTTCAGACCCACTATCCATACGAAGGAAATAACTTTAAACGGTTTCATGTTTTAATCTTTCTTGGTGGGATCACTATTCTTCCTTCTGAAGAGACGTTCGCTCCAATGTTTGAGCGACTAAGAACCTTTCACCAAGAATTCATGGCGCAGTTTAAGGACACGAACTGATAAGATGGATTTACTGGATTTAGTTTCCAGTGATGACAATATTCAATGCAGACTATTTGATATTTCTCCATCATCATTTATCAGAGGAAAGTTTTCTGATGTAAAATATATGTTTGAAGAAGCAAAACTCTTGTTTACAAATTTCTATTTCTCGAGAAAGGCTAATAAGTTTTGATGACTCTTCATTCATCTATGATTATCAAAGTTTTTCAATTTGCTTCCCTTCCCAGATTTGGCTATATATTATCTCTCAAAAAAAGACCCGGAAATGTTTAACAGTAGTGGCAGAAAGAGTCTTGAATGTATCTGGAAAGCTCTACACAAATGTCGTTAACTAGACAAAGACGAAAGACAACGTTCTTATAATCCTCTCGTAAAAATGGCTTGAAAAAAATAAATTTTAGCTACACGTTACGTCCAGCATATTTACGGCGTAAAAGCAAAGTACGTTGTAACTAATCCATTCGTCAAGTTGTCAATCAAATAGGTTTTACGTCGTAACTTTTACTACGTAAAATGTATCTGCTTCTTAAGTTGTCAATCAAATATAATTTTACGACGTAAAGTTAATATAGTAATATAGTTAACTTGTCAATCAAAAAAGGTTCGCAATGTTTAATAAGTTAACTTCAAAGTCTTAATAGACTACCATTTACAATGTTTAATAAGTTAATCTGCAGACACCAAGGGCCACCCATACATAACGACAGTTCTTCTTTGCTAGACCTTTCATTGAACAGTTGCACTGTTCTTATAATAGAGATGCAGGACGAATCAGGCCCATACCCAGATTTATCGGTTTTCTTCTTGGAGCCCTCTCTGAACCAGTTTTCGTTGTTGGACTCAGAGTGCAAAACTTATAATTTGTATTCTCATTTGTTCAACCTGCTTTAGCTAAAGCTGGTGAAAAGGAATGTGAACAGTTTTTTTTTTTTTCTAGGCTATGGCCCTGGTTTCCCTGTGTCCGAATCCTGTACAGGTGGTGTAGTTGTTCTCTTTAAGTACGGAAACAAAAGCATATTATATTTTAATACCAGTCTCCTGGGAATGGGATCTCCTGCTCCCAGGACCCTTAAGCTTATATATATGAATGCTAAATAATAAGTAAATCTTTTTTCTCCTTGGATTGTAAATATTTATAAATACCAAAGAACGTTTTTAGAACACTCATTCACATACACTAAATGAAGCGTTTTATTTTACTAAACCGATACTAGGATAAACTGGACATCGGCTATAAAATACAAGGAGTGTCCATTGACAAAATAAACGGTGAAGAAAGCCGGGGGGGGGGCGGGGGCGGGTATTATCAATAACATATATCGGATAAGACACCTACGT